TCATACGATTAAGATTAATACACGATGCAGTAACTTTATGCAGAACAACTACGCACCGTGACCATGCCGAGCTTCTTCTGTTGCGTGAGCGTCATGGCATACAACGAGCCCGAGAAGAGCAGCGTCCCAGTGGTGATGAGACCACCCGCTAGTCCCGGACGTCGACACATGGGCGTGGCTAGCAGAACTACCGAGTGGACCAATTGGTAGTGCGCTGCCGTCTCCCAGTCCTTGAGCAGGTGCGGGTCCTTCACGTGGCTTTTGAGTCCGTGAGCACCGAAAGCCCCTACGGATCACACACGTCGCAGGAATGGAGAGAGATTACGATAAAAAAAAGTCGTACTGCTGAGGTTGATGCTTTGTAGACGCACCGAGTAGCACAGCGCTGGCACCCGAGATGGCACCGACCTTCCACCACATCGAGAGCGCAGGCGAGATCACAGCGGCCTTCATCGTCGTTGAGGAATGAAAAACTTGGCGATACTAGTATTTGACATGCGTGGTTTTGGCCAATCAAAGTCGACCGATGCATGATTATGGGACGGATAACCTTTCAAAGACGATGTTGAAGTGAATCAATTTCTACAAGGTGGTAAATTACTTGCAACTTTACCAGAAAAACAAGCAACCAAAGAAGTCTTCACGACTGTTTCGTTCCTTGCCCGATATGTGCCGAGTTCAACCGCGCTGTTAAACCAGCGATGTCGTAGCTGACCTCCTCGTGCTGCCCTCCTGCTCCATTCTTCGCGTCTCTTGTTGCAACTTCTTGATCTGCTTGCTTGATCAGCTGAGTATTTTTCATTACTATGTGTTTAGAACATTCAGATATTTTCTGCTCAGAAGAAGCCATGTCTTGTGTGATGCGGCTCAGACACCGCGATTGCTGACAGTCAGCGCGTTGTGTCGTTATTAGTTCACGAAGTTCAGCAATTTGTTGAGACTGGGACGGAACTAGCAGCGCCATCCCCTGAGATCCCCATTCTGCCCAGCCACTTGGATCGTCCGACTATACCAGCATTCGGAAATCACTCGTCTGCAGCTGAAGACCGGACCACGTTTACCACTTGGTCACAATAGCAAACTCACACTTGATGGAGAAAGAGAACGTTGACGAACGTATTATCCCTTTCATAATCGTTGGCTTGGCCACAAGGAAAGAAATAACCACAATCGCAATCCTCATAACTAGGAGCATAAAGTTGGCACGATGCATCTCATTCTTGTCGCGCTTGCGCCGCAGTAGATAGTACACCTGGGACTGTGTATCGGCCATTTTGAACTTGTAAGACTTGTTAGGATCAAAGGTCATCGTGGAACGATAGACGCGAGAGCCTTTTTCGACATTACGAGGGTATGGCGAGAGCGTTGGCAGTTGTGTATTATACAACGTCGTCGAGAAGTAAGCGGCACGGAGACCAAACGCCCATTGATCACAGTCCACATCATCACATACATTTGGCTGGATAAAAGTGAGGTCGCTATGGCTGGAAACTGGAAACATGGTACGCAGTGATCATCACGCTTGTCGGAAAAGAAAATGGGTTATCAACAGGGTGACTACCAGGTAGTACCTGACGTGGGGCATTTTTGAAGTGGATCTGACGATGGGTACACCTTGATCATCAAAATCCAACGTCTGCTTCCAAAATCCCTTGGACCACAGGCACGACGCCAAGTGATGCGAATCATTCGCGAATTTACCTGGAAGCGGTCGCGATGGGGCAGAATCATTCCCTCGAAGCGCAAGAAATCCCTGCGTTGGTGGCGTCGTTAGCCTCTGCCAACTCTAATGACAAGACGAAAGCCGTCTCCACCTTGGCACAGCTGTCAAAGAATGAAGCGCATCAACGCATCATCGCCAATTCCGGTGGCATCCCAGTGTTAGTGACGCTGGTACAGCATGGAACCAAAGGCCAAAAGACAGCAGCCGCGCTTATACTATCCAAACTCTCCACACAAACTTCACACAGGGCAGTAATCGTGGCTTCTGGCGGGATTTCGCCTTTGGTGGAGCTGATTCGAGTCGGCAATGGGGCTCAGAAGGAACACGCAGTGTCGGTGTTATTCAATCTGTGTATGAACAGCAATAACCGAGCGGAAATCGCTGAATCCGGCGCTATCTTACCGTTGATAACGTTGGTACG